CGCCCCAAGTTTTGGGGTAGTATCTAGATTGAGTGGTAGCTCTAGAAACTAGCTACTTTTAGCAATCGTGGTACTAATTACATCTTGAATTCAAAACGTCCAAGTAACCCAGGTAATCATATTTAAAAACGCACATGCATGACCATAATAAGGAGGAATCACTTTACTTTTGCACCTTAAAAGCTATTTCTCTTAGTTTTGTTCTCGTTCACGTCTTCCAGTTCTGCTCAATCTATTTCCGTCAAAGAAGTCACTTTTGGTGCATACTTGCTCTGGGTTAAGTTCAAGGATCTCTGACTTTTCAAATGACTTACCACTTCAGACCAACTGGGACCGATGCTTGGTGTTCCACTCTATGGCGCCATGACACTCCGAAGTACAATTTCCCACACTATGACATGGTTGGCTGGGCAGTAGCATGCGAGGCAAAATGCCCTGCTGCCAGGTTCAAAGTTTATAACAGTTTTGGAGGTGTGCTGCACAAAACATGCGACTTTTGGTGCTAGCTATTAGATACACAAATACTTCCGTTTTTTGTCCTTACTACCAGTCAGGAGAACATCAATGAAATAAACCACGGCTTAATTCACTTTAATTAAAAATATGAATTCGCATTTACCTACGAATAAATTTGCCGTGAATTTGGGCTAGTTAAATTGGAAACTCCCAGACTTAGTTTACTAAAGTTGTCACGTAAAAAGGACAAGACATAAACGTTCAACTTACATATTTGTCTTGAAATCCAGTACATGAAATTCCAAAATCTTTTCACGTAGACTTAACACCGATTACTCGCTAATTCATCGCTTTCTTGTAACTTTCACGATTTACTCTACGTTTTGTGTAGTGCAACTCAGTTTTACGAAACATCTGGTTACGTATGGGAATGAATTTCATTGTTGATTTTAGACGAGGCTAATTATTGGGTAATAAAATCAGTCATATTAAAATAATTGTCCGACAGCTGGTCATTGGAAACTAAAACTTACTTTTAATCCTTAGGACCTGTTTCAGAAAAGCAATTAAATGAATGACGATCTAGCGTAAATTGATAACTGCACACCTTTTGTCAGAACGAATTGTCCGAAATTTGCCATGATGGGGTACAAACTATTTCCCGCTGGTATTTAGTGACTACACCGTCTAAACTTTCCGCTGTTTCTCAATTAAAGCTGTCAATCATCGTATAAATATTGGCTTTTTCTCATAACTTTTTAAATCTTTTATTCCCTCAGAAGTTATAACTGAGTTTTCTGAGATTGTTCACGCAAACTGTACAAACTCACAACTAGCTGATGTTCTATTGAGAACTGTCAAGTGGAACTCGATGTTCAAGTACCACTCAGTTATTTCTGTTGAAATTCCCTTTACTGAATTATGATGCAAATTCATTCCAATAAAACTTCTTTCCCGTGCAGTTGGAAAAAGCCAAGCCGCATTCATTTTGATGCCAAAGGACGAATCTGTGGAGTGTGTGACGGAGAACCTTTGATGAAAATAGGTATTCATTCGTTTGCATCAAATGGAAGACTGCGTCTTTCATGGGCGACAACAGCTGACGATGTGTGGAGAATGCACAATGTCGATTTGAGCGACTTATTGCCCACATGAAAAGCTCTTCAAGTCTGCTTCTAGATTCTAGGCAATGTTGTAAGAAAGGGTTTGGATATTACAATTGGTTAAATTAGTACAGACATCTATATTTTGTATTTCCTGAAATAGTCCTTCAATTCGTCCAACGTTTACTTATGCCTCGCTCAATACTTTTTTGTCTTCACTTAATTTTTTTGTTTTTGCTTACCTTGGACACTTCATTACTCTTTTATTAGTAGTGCCCCTATTATTGACTCCCTCTTTTCGGTCTGTGAAAACAAACTTGGAGTCATTAAACACTGCGGGAAATACAGTTGCCTTCCGTGAAACCAGGTTATTACCAACTACCAACGAATTATAAACATGTGCAACCTCTGGAATTTTAGGGATCTTGTGTTTCCTGTGGTATAAATCCGGATTTTGGGATTATAGAATCGTGAATGCACACTAAGAGGAAAGTTAGTTCACTCTCAGAAATGTGGATTAGTGAAATCGAGTACGTTTGAAAGACTCTTAGTGTAGTTTTTTGAAAAATGAATATGTCGTGTTGCTTTCACCAAATCGCCAGATTACTCTTATTTGCAAGTATATTCACTAATATGTTAATCAAGCGCCAGAACCAGATTCTTTAGCGTGTTCAAGTCACGAACACCTTTTGAAATTAGTTTAAGTTAGTTTGAAGATTTCTACATTTATCTAAGCTGAAGTTTTTTTGTATAATATTAAACAAATAGCTGAAACACATGGCCAATTTACGCCTTCACTCAGGTTGGCTTTGAAATTTGTAAAACATCAGCGTTAGATCTTTAAAAGAGCATTTTCTTATTAACTTCATGAATTCACAACGACCACATGTTGTGGAGTGGAATTAATGTTTAAGAGAAATACAAACGTTGAAATGATTGCAAGGCCTAGCAATACCTCGTTTGTCGGCAAATTTCACATCCATGCACCTTATTCACACAGCTCTAGCTACCCACCACTAGTAAAGCCATGACGCAGCATGAGGAGCAATTAAAACACTTACAATGCTGCGGGCAGCTTAGACAGTGAACAGAAGGAATTCTTGCAACACAGATTCACCGACATCGCATCCACCTGTCAAAACGAGTGGATTCTAGATAAGATTCTTTGAGTATCTTATCATGTTGGCGGAATATGTCGCAATACACATGAGCTTCGCAGTCGTTACTGTTACCAATCAACTTAAAAATATAAATATTTGTTTTAACCGAAGAAACTAAGAAAAAAAGGATTTGCTGCATTACTATTAACCGTAGTTGAACAATTAAATCATTTGTATGAAAATCGATTCGATACTCTCAACGGCGATTTTGGCCACGAAGTCACCTCAAGAGATTGCTAAGTTCGTCAGTCCCAGAACAAGACTGAGCATGAATCTTATGGCCCTTCTATCATTCACCATAATTCTAAGTTTAAAATCCTAGAAGAGGTGGCAATCCAGAGAAGTTACCACAAATTTATCAACACACTTGTACAAACGTTCAGTTTCACTGATTGACACACTGCCGTGCTTTCAACATTCCAGAATAAAATTTCGCTAGTTATAAATTAAACCAACCTTGTACAGAGGTTAGTTTAATCTATTTTTAAAAGGTCTACAAATATACGTCTTAATTTTGCATTCAACCCCCGGTTCAAAAGTCATTTGACTGATGCGAAACCACGTGCTGTAAACCCACTGAAGGTAGTTTCGGTGATGCTTTCTTGCAGCGACATTTGGCAATGTAGAGTTGATTTATTGGTCTGCCATACATGTACACACGTTCGAGTTTAATCAGGAACGATGTGTACAAGCGTGCTGCAGGCGATCTGGGGACCGAAGCAGTCTCCTAGCCCATCAAATCTATAGCAGTACTTTATTTTTTCCCATAGGGAGAAAGTTGGCCGAGGTGGTTAGATTGCAACGCTGATTAGTTACTTTCGGTTGTCAATCGCCACCATCCCCCATATCGGGGCGTGCAGTACACAACTCACATAGGCATCAACTGAACTACACGTCATTTGGCGGGCTTCAGGAGAAATATTCAAGTTCTAACCATGGCTTGACCCGAATGCCAAGACAGAAACACGAAGTGCCCAATTGGCAGCACCGACCGGTCGGGACGAGTGTTGACGACCCGTCAAGAAGGCTGAAGGGACCGTCTAACAGGAATCAGACAATGGGTTGAAAGTGCAGGCACGCGCTCCGGAGCTTCTTGAAAGCAAATTATGCCGAAAAGGGTGGAAGGCAATTAAAAAAACCAACCTAAAAGGCTTGCTAAGTACCTTTGTGGGCACCTGCGTCCCAGAACAGACATCCAACCCACATGCCAAATTGCAAAGTGCGAGTCAAAGCATACAGTTTTATGGCAGCGAGGTTTGATGAACAAAAGGCCATATTCCATAATTTGAGCACATATCAGCTAGCATTTAAATAAATTTTTAGTATGAAGAGGTAGCCTCAGTACTTGGTGAGAAATTTCGAGCTACGTATGAAAGATTTCCGGCACAAACCATTTCTACCGAAAAGAGAGTGCATTGACGACCTGAGAGAAGATTCTACCTCATGTTGTCCCGATGTCGTTGGTTACTTAAAGGGCAAGTAATCTCGGAAATTTGAAGAGGACTTTTGAAGCCCACTTACTTGACGCTACAGAAATGAATTATATTGGGGCTACAATTAGTAGAGCTCGTCACTCGGCAACACGTCAAACCGGCGACACAAGAGACAAATGTGCTGCCACGATTTAGAAGCATTTACAAACGCTCGGGTCGGTCAAAAAGTTCTACACTTAAATACTCCATCAATCACACATGGAAAATTTCTAGGGCCCAATTTCTCCCTTACTTGTTACTTACGTACAATTAGAATGAGTCCTTTTTTAAAGAAATCATTAAAAATAACGGGAAATTGGCTTTAACCAGTAACGTTGGTGGACGAAATAATTGTAATATAACACAGATCATTAAGATTTCAATTCTACCCAAAGTAATGTATTTAGTTGGTGATATTGAGGAATAGCATATGCTGTGGATTTCTGGCTCGATTAAGCACTCCTTGCAGTTAATCAAACTCTAAGAAGCAACTGACAGGAAAGGACCAGATTTGGCCAGAAGAAAGGGAGCTGTGTATTACCGTGACAATGCCAGATTACAATCTCATGCGAAGGCGTCTCAAATAGCATAGTTATTTAGGTAGCATACTTTACGGACAACATATGATTTGCGTTGCCCTAACCTCATTTAACGGTTTAAATCTGCCAGACTGGTCACGAATAAACTCAAAAGGCGAGTTTCTGGAAAAACTGTAGCTATTTTTACGGCACAAAAACCCAGATTTGTATCTAAGTTACAGAACAGTTACTAACAACTTCGCAATCAGCGGGGAATTATTTCCAATTGTGTCATAATTCAGCAACGGTCGACCGCATGCTTTGTATAACCGCGGCTGGATCGTCGGCCCCTGTTATTGCACTACCAGAGACGATCATGTTGGCACCATTCTAAAATAAAACGTCGCACACACAATCACCTACTATATAGAGGCCAGGAACATTTTATGACGCACCTAGCATCTTTGAGTAACCAGCTGGTATAGTTAAAAGTACTAGAACAATGGATAAATTATCCCAATACACTAGGTACCATGAGTGTACGTACAAATCCCACTTTAAGTACTAATCCACAACGTGCGCACAAGTTGTAAATTCAAGATCAATGATAATGCGTGAATAAGAATTCAAAATTTCCATGTTTAGTCACACAAAACATATATTAATTCTCAGGTAAACGGACAAGACTTAAGGCTGTTTGGCTATATGCGCACATGTCATTGCAGAATTTCCTGATACTCTTGCAAACGAACAGCAAATGAAGGTACTAAAAGTTATTTAAGCGTACAACGGAAATATCGAAGGCCGAGCAAATAAAGGAGCACCTTAATTGAAAATCAGATTTCGACAACACACCTTAATGCATTCCCGAATAGTCTTAGGGCCCACTCCACCGTCGACTTCAATGTTGAGATTTTGATACTTCTCACGCAGCATCCGTACCTTAAAGAATTCACAAGCCAAACTAAAGTAAAAATACAAAAAGCCAGAACCGATAACATTTCAATAACTTAGTGATCACAAGTTGTTTAAATATTTGTGACGCTTGACATATCGGTTGTCGTTAACTCGGTCAAGCTCGCGCCAGGTGGTGGATTATCTTGAAGTGTTTATTTGGCCGAACCGATTACTAGGACTTAATATAATCGATTGTTTACACATGCATGACTGGTTTGACGCTTAATTTTACGTAGCTACATATCTACCTCTGCACACAGCACAGAACAGTCAAAATTACTTCGACTGTCTTGGAAACAACTTGGCTTAATAACAAATACTGGGATTTTCTAAGAATCTTCAGATGAGCAAAAATCGTCACGAATTCGTTAGTGCCTCATCCTTTGAAGTGAGATGGTGATTGAATGCTAATACAGCCGAAGCCATGTACATCAAAAAGGCTGTAACACTACAGCTTCAGAGGCATACCTTGGGCATCATGTCCGCCATAAAGCTTTGGCCACCGAATCCAGGTTCAACGGTCATCACGAGGATCATGTCCACGAGGTCGACATAAGGAAAAACTTCCTCAACAATTGTCTTCGGTTTGATACCCAAACCAACCTATGGATGGATGTAGGAGCAAGATGTGACCTAGTCCGTTTTAAAACATCTGAGCTGCGATGACCAGCGACTGGCAGAATATTCAGTGAAATTTCGAATACTTCACTAAACAAAGAATAGTTGCATTATTTGCCATTTTTTTGCGAGAGGAGGGTGCGCCACCAGCTCGTGTAAAATTGCTCAAATATGATGCTAACAGGTTTGGAGAATACGCTACTAGAGGGGAATGCATCACTGGCCACAGGGATGGAAAGATCAACCGATCAAGTGGCTCGTACACAAAGGACTAAATGTAGCAATACATGTGTAAATATTTCAAAAACAGAAGACTTCGGGATAAATAGGTCAAAACACAGTTGAATTTAAATTCCCAAGAGAATTGCTAATTAGAAAACACAAAATTAGACCGCCGTGCATCAAGGGCAAACCCAGAACCCTGTCTTACTTACCCTCATTCCGGCTTCTCGGACCTTTCGGATGCATCTCTTGACGTCATCAGTGGCCTCGACATGAAAAGTGTATTGAGTGGCACCGGCTTCACGCATTCCTTCGACCCACTTAAAACATTGCAAAAACAAACCGCTTAGCCAAATCCAATATAGCCACAATTCAAGCGTCGCCTGAAACTGACGCCCTTTAAGTTGACTTTAAATGTGCAAGATGTAGAGCTTCACCAATACGAACATTAGTGAAATTCCCCCAATCGTACATTCACTGATGTTGGTCCATCTTAGCAATCTAGAACTACAGGGATAATGCTAATGATACTATGATGAGGCAAAAACAGTATGAAGCTTTTGGAAGACTTAATGGAATACATTTTGACGATGTACTGACCACACATGCAACTGTGATGAACACCTTTTCCTTGAATGTTTAGATCTAGAAACAGCTACGTGTATCAATACTTATGCATTTCACCCGATAACAGTTCAACAAACTGTTAATTCCACCGACATATTTGTATACGAAGAAGAAGACTAAATAATTTTAGTTGGTTTCAATACAAGCTCTAATATCACTAGAATAATAGGCACTGTTATCAACGCCATTCACACGGGATGAAAGCGTCGAAGACCTTCAGAACACTCACCTTTTCTGGTTCTGCGACCATCATATGAAGATCCAGAAAAGTGTCTGAAGGAAGTTTAGGCTTTAAACAAGAAACGACTGGATGTCCGAAGGTAATGTTTGGTACAAAGTGACCGTCCATAACATCCAAGTGGAGGTAATCAGCCCCTGAATTCATCAGATTCACGGAAAGTTCTGCCAGTGACGAGAGATCACCATTCAATACCGAAGGCCCTATCCAAAGCTGGCTGGCGCAAGGCAAGTGAACAGTATGGCCATGGTCCTTACAGTCACCTTTAGAACAAATAGGTGTCAACTAGTTTAAAAAGGTTTTACAAAAACGGGGCAAAACTCCTACATCTTTATTCTGGCCTATTTTGGTGGGTTCGATATGACCTAGGCAATTGTAAACTACCGAGACATTAAACATACTGGACCCAATTATCGCAAAACGAATGCTAGCGATTACATTGGCTTAAAACGTTACCCTCTTGCCCACTCTATCGACGCTACCTCCAAAATAAACCAAACAGCATACCTCCAATCACCTGACTAGTGGTGACCCCTACACCTTCCCTCCTTTTTAAGCACTCCTGAATTTTAATGTAACACCCAAGCTTAAAAGCAGACCCGCATTCTCGCTATTATTTAAAGCTCGAATTTGAAAACGTAAAATGAAAACTTTGAGTCCACTTTACCGAAACGAACGAATTAATATCTTACAAATCAAGATCTTTTATTCGTACATCCATATTTTTGTGGGTAAATGTCAATTTCAATCATGGATTGCTAACTCTGTTCTAATTTTTTTTGGTAATCCTGGATAGAACTGATACTTTTGGATAAAATGTAACTACAACGCAAAATTAACTGATGTTGGTTTGGGTTCTTTTCTGAAGCAAAAAGCACAAAAAAGTAAAAGGCAACTTTAGTACGTCTCAGAAAAATAAACCGACCACACATGTCGAATAATAGTCAAAATGCATACAACGTGACCTTCAATCCTTTTGGTCACTTGGTTGCCCAATATGTCAAAACATGTAATTCATTATGTCCTATCAGACAGACCTTAAAGTATGAACCCATAAGTTCTGCTTTGTCTACTGTTACAGAAAAAGATTAGACGATCATCTCAGAACATCGAGTCATTATGATGAGAGCTTAAGGAAGACAATATATGAGAAAAAATACGATAAAATTCAAACTATCAGCACAAGAATGGAAGACCTATTTAATCCTTAAGAAACGTTTACTACATTTCAAGGGTAAAATAAATATGGGTACATTTCATTAGGTAAATGAAAGAATGTTAAGGGGTTCTAATTTGGGTCACTGGTCAGATCAGAATAGAATAATGTTTTTACTAAATTAAAGATAAAATCCTTAAAATATTTGTTTATGTAGTTTTAAAATGCATAAACCTGCTTCATTAAGATTGGTTTGATGGTGATATGGCGGATTTGATAATCACAGACGTGCACCACTCATCATTTGACAAAGTTCTTGGGAGATCATTTTAGATTTGCTAAGATTTCGACACCAAGTGCAAATGGATTTCTGACGGAACGCAGCGGTTATTAAATCTTATTTCTTGGAGCAATAATCATGGATATTTATCAGCCTCTGTATTAGCTATCCGCTATGCATCCAAGCAGGAGAAACAATTTTTTCTTGTATCAATGGTTACATTAAAAATGCCCAGAGTCCTGCCCTGTCTTATATTTAATTTAAATATCCCAAATTACAACATGTTCCAACATTTAACCAAGTTCAATGAAACAACATTTATTAAGTTAACCTCAATAAAAAATACCGAAAGTCTTGACATCACAATTTAAAGTCCTGTACGTGGATTTAGAATAAAACCAGTTGTCATTTTCAGAGATTCTTCACGTCACACATTCAAAATAATCACTTGGACAAAAATTATTTGTGTTTTTGTATAAATATTGCTACACTGGTATGTACGATGCTACATAATGTGCAATATAACTGTTAGTGCCTAATACTTAATTTCACAACCTTATCCACTATCTCCTCCAAGATTCCTTTGATATATGTGATTTTCATATATTTATGTGCACGCTAATTGCCTTAAAATTTCCTTACATCGAAAGCGAGTGAGTTTATCTTTCACCGCTCAATATGAAAGTAATGCATTAGTGTCAACGTTGCAGCATGATATCGCGCGATATTGGATTAGCCTGTAATTATCGTAAATGTAGGCAGCCACTTGTTGATACTGCTATTGTTACAATTTGCCAACATATATTCTGCATTCCTCATGGGCCCGTTTTGGGTCCAGGTCAACACCGGACTTCATGCCCCGTATGCAATTCTGCTCTAGATAGAAGCGCTAATGATTTCATTGAAGTAAATCAAAGAGGTATTTAATTCTAGATAGATCGATTTGCAACCATCTGACCGCTTCAAGTCGCTTATACTCGCTGGTCAATCTCCGGAACTCATATTGGATATCGCCAAAAGAGCAATCAATTTTTATGAATTGCAGCAATCTCTTCGCTCTCAGTTTCTGGAGTATATTGCAGCAAAGGCCTTTGAAAAAACAAAATCAATGGAAAAGGAACTTAAATCCGTACTGGTTAAAATGAAGGAGGATAATTCAGTTTATCAACACATGAAGAGTTCTGTAAGTTGGGATTTGAAGCAATAATTTCTATAGCTTACGCAAGAATGTGAAGAATTGCGTTCTAAGCTTATTATATCTGACCAGAAACTGACTCAATTGGAGCGAGAGTGTCAGCAGCTAAGGATGACGGCAAAAAATGATCACAATACGAGCGCGACAGAGGCGCAGCTTTTAAATAGATCATTTGCGAATCCTAGCACCAAAGTTCAAGATAATTGGAGGTCTAATTTTAAACGAACACACCAGCAAATGAGAGACTCTCCCGAATCTTTGTCAGACTACAGCCCAATGAGAACCTGCATGCGTATGACTCACAACGGGAATGCCTTCAACCTCTCAACTAGAGCGGATCGTAGTTCACCTTTCCGTTTTATACCTGTCACTTCTGTTAATCCTGACAACAAAAAAGAAGCGAAAGCACCAGATGCCTATAAGTTTTCTAATGGTAAGTTTTTTCATTATCTTGTATGTCTTAGGTGGCAACCGATGGCATCAATGCTCTTCAGTTTTGCCAAACTTCGCGGGACCCCTCAGCCGGTAGAAGACAATGGTCGTCGTCATGCTATTTCACTAGCGATAGATCTTTGTCAGACAAAAATTGAACTGAGAGTTTCTTAATCATTTTTGCACGTTTTTTGTTACTTTCGATAAACGACCTTTTATGTATGCTCCACTGTTTCATTTCTCTAGAGTTCACTGAAAAACAGAACGTGTCTATTTTTACCCAAAGTATTACTAGGACCTGACAAATATTATTGACAAGATTCTTCCTGGTCTTATAGTATCTAATTAGGTGAGTATGAGTTCTTCAATTAAGTCTTCACGCATCTATCGTTTCTTTCTTATCTAGCATTTTAACTTACGAAAGGGTATTCTGTTTAGCAAATTGATAACAATTCAAAAGTGTATGGGAGGACTTTTCTACTCCACCTAATTAATTTTCCTTTTTTGCGATTTACTTCTCCTTTGGGTATTTTTTAATGAAATTTTTCCTCGTTACTGTCAATACTAATTCAGCCTACAGTAGCCAGCTTTCACCGAATTTGCTTTACTGAAAGCTAAGGCTCCACTTTCTCCAAATTCGGCTTCTTCTTCAATTTTATTCTTGCTAACGTTGTAACTATTGGTTTTTGGTTCACCATAATAGCTAAGAATCATCAGTTGTTTTATTTCTTTGATTTCTATTTAAAAGGAGTTCTACTGTCGTTACGTAAACATACACTATCTGGAGTTTTTCACTACATAGTTTAAATCGTCCGGCCCAATATAACTATTACCATAACGAGATTTTAATTGTTACTTTATTACATTGGTACATAAGTGTAATGGTTGGCGAAAAGGAGTGCGATTTGTTACATTATGTATTGTTGTGAAGTACTGCAATTTGGCCTTATGGAGTAGAGGGGGGTATAAGTGGATGTCATTAACGGCTGATTTTCTTGAAAATAAAGAGCAGTTTCAGTGTTTGTCCTCGAACTGAAGGCCTCTGTGTATTCATTTGTCTCCCCGCCACTTCCGAGGCAGTCGCTTTCGGTACTATTGCTATCACTAAGAGCCCTGTGGTCGACCGAAGTCAGCTGTTGCGAAATCGGCTGGAAATTTCCAACTTCCCCTCCAGAAACGTGAATGGAGAGAGGCGATGCTGATGGGTTCTTAACATAAAGATAAGTTTATGCTGTCAAATGTGTCTCCTTAATTTAATCAACAGGGGGTTGGTAGTTTAAAATGACCCCCTGCTTTATTCTGGATAGGTTATTCCAGTGTTAATAACACAAATTATTAGACTGCTCATTGTAACTATTTTATGTGGACTGCTCGTGAACACTCCATTCTTTGCAGAAAATCAACTCATTTAAACTTGGTTATACTACACATATCAAACATCTCTATTCTGTTATCATCCCGGATTGTGCTTTTTGGTTTGGTTCATTGAACAATCCCAAACGTTTTCATGATCTTCACATTTCTATCCAGTCCTTTAAACAATTTTGTTGTTTGAAACAATTGTTAGTATTTTGGCAGCCCTGTTTATGCACTTAAAAGGGCTGCAAGGTGAGGACTTAGTTCGTTTTAAGTGTCTCTGTACGTAATAAGGACCTACCGAAGGATTTCCAAAAGTGGTGATTCCTGCAGGCAACCACCCTGGCCTCGACTGCCCTATCCATGGCTCTTGAGGACGATAGCACCAACCCTTCGGTTGCTGAAGCATGTCACTATAATTGCACACTTCCTGTTTCAACATTTCTGTCGATTCAGCGAGGCGGGTCTCATCCTCATCTCCTGAGCTCATCATAGGAGTGGTCGGCTTATCGGCGATAGTCTTTGATTCCTTACGGTACTTTGCACGGCGGTTCGCAAACCAGACTTGGATGCGGGATTCCGGAAGGCCAGTCTCATTGGAAAGTCGCTCACGTGTTGAATGCTCTGGATAGTGGCCCAATTCAAACTCTTAAATTAAGAACAACTTTTTTGGAAAGCACAAATCAAATCTTCACTTATACAATCCGCTGTTGTATTTACTAATACAAAATTCAGAAACGTCTTAGAGTTGGATGTGGTCGTTATCCTGACACGAACTCAAAATTGTTTTAGGGTCAAGAAAACTCCACCATGTTCCAGGCACATCGTTGGAACATGATAAATCGTAAATCCAATATCGCAGCAAAAAAACAACCGCCTCACTTTAAGCAGGTTCCTATCGTTTGAATGAGTACCTTTCAGATAGAAAGCGCAGTTAGGACTACTTAATTAGTGCTAGATGTCTCGGGATTTCCCAACTCTGCACTGTCAATTACCCTATCTGTATCCTATCCATTGGCATCTCTGAATGTTCAGTTTTTAGAACTCCCCATCTTCCGTTAAAAAAGTGAGTCCCATAGTTGGAGCTACACAAATGAACCTCTTCTGTCCACGTTTGTCAAGTGTCTAAAACTTATACACTCGTGGAACCATTCGCCTACATATTTCAGCTCTTCGAAGTTCGCTTCGATAATGTTTATGTGCGTTTTGTAAACTCTCCTCTTCAATTAACAGAATGTCAATAACATTTTGCCTCTACCAACATATTAATATCCATTTTGAGCTTACTAGTGAAGAGTGGTTTTTCCGCACACCGCTCTCATAGGAGACGCCTCTACTTCATATGTTGTTTCATGTAATAACTGCTAGTTGGTATCGAGGAGGCCAAAGTAGTAGCTTTTCGAGTTTTGGTAAAGCATTAATGTAAGCGAAAAGCTACTATTCGTCATAACGTAGTTCTTTACTCTTTCGTTTATTTTCGCCGGCCCGAACGTGTCCTTCTTTTATCGGAGTAGTTCGGACTCCAAAAATTATCTCTATTCATCAATGTGCTCTTGGTGGCTTTATTTCAGTTAGTTAAATATCACAGTCTTGTGCATACAACTGGCGGTAGTGGGTGGGGGTGAGCCAATGGCCTGGTTGGGGGAAGACCACCATTTCACCCAAAACATTGGGGAAAGGGTGGGGGTCGTGATGATGGGACTGGAGCTCAGCGGAGCGTGAACTACCCGGAGGGTCGGCCAGCCGTCCCTCGTCTGTAAACTTCCAAACACCTTACCTCTTTCCAACATGTTGATCTGTTTTTGTGTAAAGGCAGTTCGACTGCGAGCCTGAGGCCTCCTTTCAATCGACTTGGAGGTGACTGGGGAGGCTGTGTCACTGCTAAAGTCATCGGCGTTGTCCTCGGCCAAGCACTTAGACCCAGACTCCGACCTGGACCAATCCAGCGTTGCAAAGGAAGAGACCGCAGGTGCCCATACTGAAGATGGATCAAGTTGCCCCATTGTATCGAAATAATTTTGGGAATCCCTACGGATTCCAACGTCTACAAATGAAGGAGAAGATCAATTGGTGCCTTTGAACCTTACACGGCATGAGCCACATCGACATCATTCAACCCAATTAGAGAAGCAGCCTTCAAAATAGTTTTGCCGGCAATTTGTCTTAAAGGCCAAGTCGGTCGTATTTACCTAAACCCGTGAGAAGTGATTCCTTAGACGTCCAAGCAGTCGGATGCCATTTGGCACCGTCTCCCTCGGGATTCTGCTTCCAACATACCTAAGCCTAAAGTGCCTAACGTCTAAATTGTTAGGTTTAAGTATACCTAAGCGAAGCCATAAAATCTTCTAGCAGTTCTCATAATTAACACAAAGATCTGATTTGTAGAAAACTTTTGTGCCACAGTACTCGTAGGTTTGGAGCACTTTGTTGTCAGTCACTTGAGCCCTGTGCAAGACGCGTGGTGATGGTGTGCAAATGGGACTGACTATGCGTGAAACGTTGAGCCGAACCAACCTTTGGTTAAGTGACAGCAATATCCAGTGATAATAGTAAATGAGGAACAAAGTCGATTTAGTACATTCTACTGTACCTTGGCAGGCCGTTGTGTTTGGTACACATTCACTACTTGCTGTAGTCGGGACTCCTTTTTCCAAAGATAACCCCGATTTGGACGGGGGTGGAGGCGCTGGGTGTGCGTAAGCAGAGTCGGAATAGGACTGGTAGTAAAGGTCTGGTTTCTCCTGGACAGAGATACTGGTGGGACACCACGGAGACCATGAACAGGGATGAAGGAAGTGGTTGAGTCTGCTGTGCATCGAGGGCTGTTGATATCCAGGAGGGTAAAGGGCTTCCAGATGCGTAATGTTTTCACCTGCTGGAAGACTCAAATTGGGGGGCATAGTGTATGGATGATTCGCATCCGGCAGTGGGAGAGCCGTCCTCTCGTGGAGTCGGCGTTGGGCTTCGCTGAAGAGCCCTCGCAGCACACGGTTGATCGATGATACCTAGATGTGGAGAACCACCGTAAATGGAAACGACCCGCTGCCAATTTCGGACGCACAATGCACCCTGGTATGTCAGTCTAGCATCATGACGTATATGTCAGTGCTAGATTTGTTGTAGATCAGGTTGGTATCACAGTGTGGGACGTAATTCAATAAAAGGGCCAAAGAGTCTCCTTAACTAGGCTGTCTAAGCACAACTTCCACCTCTAAGCAATAAAAAAAATCCCAGCAAGCATAAAAGAAAGTATTATTAGGATGTTCAACGAAAAGATGAATCCAACGAATTACTTTCACCGACCATACTTGCGCATTCAATGTCTGCTAGTTTCCTCCTATGTTTCATGTATTACTTTCTATGGAATATGCGAAACTTCTAATTATTGGTCATGCCTTTACTCAGCAATCTAGTGGAATACAGGAAATAGCGGACTTATTATACTGTGGTTATAATTGCACTTTTGAGTTTTGCTATGCCGTGCCTCACAATCCTTTACATCGAGATTGTTTGAAATCTCTAAAATGAGAGACTTTAAAGATCTTCCAATCAAGGTAAGCTAAGGACCCGATATCCTTTAGAATTCGATTAAGACTCCACAAAAGCATTGGCGCAGGATAGCCTGTACTTGGACACACAGATATTATTAAGTTTTCTGAATACTATTTGCAGAAAAGTGTGGAAGCTCTTAAGGATTTGGCAATATTACTAGACCTGATCGAATTCAAAGACAATACTGTAATAAATAACTGCATCGAAATAATTTGGCAAAATTATATCCTAATCAATCGGTCCTTCTATGTGGATTGAGTAATTGTCATTTATTTACATGGGTTCTCCAACGCTCCAAATTGACAATGTTAGAAACCCGGTTTAAATGAAACTGATTTTTATACAAATTCAGGGGTTAAATTAAATACAACGGAGACCGTTTCAGCCTTATTAGTAGAGAGAAATCAACAGTGAATCATAGTAGCCACTCCTCTGATCCCTAAAAATACAGCCGTAGTGTTACGGTTTTTCTTCGACCTAAACTTTACCATAATAGTATTGAAAGTAGTATTGTTATTATCTGCACGAAATAAGCAGATGGTATTATCCACCTTCTTTGGAATGAAAAGCATTGAAAAAATACTAGTGACGAAGTGATTAGGTTGTTTTATTTTTTAATAGGTCAGTGAACAAAGCACTATTGAATAACATGATTTGCTTATTTTAAACTTAAAGTGTGCACTTCGAGGTCGCAGCATCTTCCACTACCTAATGGTGAAGAGGTAAAATATTGCCCAACGCTCACAACCACGAGGTTTCTGGGGCCATTCTTCCTTTGGCACCCTTTTGTGTTAAGTTACACAAAAACGAATGGATAGTTTCTAAATGAAACAGTTGTAAAGGCAAGAGAAAGGGAAAAATCAAGAGTTAATCTCTTGTGTTCACTATCAGGTAGAAAATCATGCATAAGTCACTGCATGACTTCGGGTTATAATCACAACGTCTTGGATTGGGGGGGGGTGATAATTCCTCAATTCTGTCTCTTTTCCTGACGTAATGCTTTACTTGTCCATTCTGATTCCATACTCGTTGCTTCGACGGTTTTCCAAAGTAAAGCACGAAGACAAATGTGACGACTTATTTCCATCTCGCAAGTGTCTCTCTCAGGCATCGACTGCCTCAAGTGGGAAAGCATCCTTTATCAAATGAGGGGTCATGAGGCGTCAGCTCGTGGCTGAGCGGAAGCGCAGTCCTCTGCGACTCCACTAGCGCCGAGTTTGGGTGCCAACTAGGGCCCCAACTAGGTCGTTTTTCACGAACCGCTTTATTTTTGCCCATCTGTGGTTGGTTGAACCAACAAATTCCTCTCGCCCTCTAGCAAGAGCTCAGGTCCGAGGGTGTGTGCAGTCAAGTGACAGCTCTTCCAGCATTTTCAGGATATTTATCGTCTTCGTGGCCGGGCCTTGTTGTGGATCTTAATGATTGCCATTTCAAGATTTAAGGCATCTCCTTGAACTCTTGTTCTTAAACGATGACTAAAAATTTATTTCAGCTTTGAAAACAAGTTAAAATTTAACCGTTTTATAAGTCTTATTAAAAAAAGAACAGGAAAAGTGGTTTTTTTAACATAACAGTAGGGCTTCAAAGACACGACTAGTTTGCTTTCAAGTGTCTGTCATTTCTCGCATGACTTCACCAATGAGAACAACCGTATTAACCACTGTGAAGCTCATTCAGAGAGCAATGATTGGAGTTGTTTTCCCTAAAATGTAAATGTAAAGAGATGGTAGGATGTTTGGACCCGTTTTTTTACTTTTAAATGCCCCCCTGCCATACACCATTAGCGTGTGTTCGGGGGCTTCGTCCACGTCGCTTCCGTTCTGACCTCAGCTTTTTGCCTGAGTGTCTCCAGATCGTTTTTTGTTTCCAGCAGCACCGACAACCAAATAGGAAGTGAGGGGAATGTCTGACTAATTTGAATTAACCAGTGTTTGCTAGATACTAATTTAGTACGAGTCTTTGTTTGAGTCCTTCCTCAATGCTACATCAGAACTTGGTAGCTAGAGGGACGTTTAAATGTTACTTGCCTTCCCACCACTGTCTCGTGACCCCGGCACTGGATTGTGGTGAGATTAAGGCAACGTGAGATCGCGCTTGGCGCCGTCTTTAATTAATGCTGTTGTTGTCATCTTGTGTCAATGGCATCGCTTTCTGTAACGCCACACACAAAAGTCTATTCGGTGGCCAATTGGGCGTCTCGATCAATGGGACCACGAAGTGTTTCCAAGTGGACGCTGTCAGTTTTGCGAAAGGGCACATCACAAGTCAACCAGGGGAACTAATACAAGCGAAACGTGAACTACCGCTGCACGACGACCTGAGCTGTTACAAATCACTTCGCGGTGAAATTATCCCTACTATTCAAATTAATAAGGGTCTGCGCAAACCCTGCTCACAGGTCGACCGTAAATAAAAAGTAATCTTCTTTCTTGGAAGTGGGTAAATTAGACGGTCATTTCATGCTGGTCGATGAATTTAGTTAATGATGCGATCGAAATTTTATGTTATATAGCCAGTCCAATCGGTTATCTTTGCACAAGGAATTTTGACATGATGGCCGTCAGTGATACTAAAAAACCAGTCTTCAAAATATTTAAAAATGAAGAACTCACACTCGGGACATTTTCTGGAGCACAAACACCAGATTGCATGAGCCTATCGCGGATCTCCCACGCGAATATGGATGGACACTCGCGTTTCAATTCTGCGATTTTGACAACCACAGCGTCGGTGGCCACCCTCGGTTTGCTGCCACCGATGGCCTTGGGTTTTATCGAGCCCGTCTCGTAGTAGCGACAGAGGATCTTGGAGACGCAACCATTGGAGACCTGGAGCATGCGAGAGATGTCGCAGGGACGAGCCCCAGCCTGTGCCATTTCGACGATCTTCCGTCGAACGGCGTCTGGTAAGGGACGACCGTTGACGAAGGCACCTCCAAGCTGATTAACTCCAGAGTGGCCTAAGCAGTAGGGAGCGAAGATAGATTGATCATAACGAACCCAGGTTTTTAATTGACTCCAAGGTGCTGTATAAACTTTAAGGTAATCGGTTTTCAAGTTCGTATTCAACACCCGCAAAAGTGTGCGCGAGAATTTGTATGATCGTGTCACAAATGAAGTTGTTAAATTTTAATTGCATGTTGTATTGAGGCGAATCTTAGGAAAAAAGTCCATAAGATACATTTCTGTAAACTAACTTTGACGCTTGTTTTCCAGTGAAAAAGTATATGACTGCATGAGAAGAGTTCTTATCATAACGGATTTAAACCAGACTACAGAACGTGATTTACGGCCACAATCCACCTGAAGTTAACCAACTAAAAGTTGAAAGACCCGTCTCTTACATTCAACATAAGTGCACATCGACGGCCGTAAATTAGCTCCTGTCTACACACCCCAAGAGTGAAAGCGATACCGATCAGGGCGGGGGGTGCCGTTTGATGACCCTGGGTCAACACGGTTTGTTATTCCAATCGTTCTTATCACGAAGTCGGTTTGACAGGTCGGTAACTCTTCTGAATCAAAAAACTTATCCCACAAACCCACGCACACACTTGTGCAACCGATTTAACCAGTTTTTAAAAATGCCCCTAAATTAATTCCTTTTTTACAGCCTTCGTTCCTGGCATAGTAACACAGTTGGTTTTGTCACCTATTGAGTTTTCTGTCCATCTCTTTAAACTTCGACTAAAAAAGTTGTGGCAGATCCATAAGAATTCCCCTGTAAATGCGTTGCCAAACTTTTATGAAGCCTTTTGGAGGTAGTTGTCACCGGCTGATTTGCTGTCATCCTAGGCATTTTACAGTCATTGAGTGTTCACTAACAATGCCTATTTAAATAAAATACAATCATCGTAGTATAATGCGCATTGACATAAATAAAAGCAAATGACGTCGCTGATTAAATTTACTCGATTATAATTAAACCACGAAATAATATTTAATAATCCATGATGAGCACTTGAAAGTTCAATTTTTTGTGGATAACAGCACTTGTCAGTAATGCAATTTGTCCCGAAAACTCTTCTGAGGAAAACAAACAAAGTAACCAACTCACTAGACATCGCTTTCTCCAAACCGCTTCAATCGATTTCCAAAAAATTAATTTTTGTGAAATGAGAATAGTTGTAAACTCGGGGTGACTTCACTGAAGCGCGAAAATTGTCCTAATACGCGGCGATGGCAACGTCGAGCCAGGTGAAATCCCTCTGGCCACTGAATTGTGAGTCGATTGGTCCAATCAACCGCACATAAAAGTCCCTGTCCCCCTCAGAGCCACGAACTTAATACGTCCGCCCAAGCGCGGTGATCGCTCATCCGTGATAATTGGCCAATCATGGCTACAACGTCAGGCCACTTGACTATGCGCTGGTGGCCACTGGAGTTTCTGATTGGCTAACATTTCCATTGCGCAGCCATCCAACGAAACCAGAAAACCAGGGAATGCGTGTACATAATAAATGAAGTGGAGGCTTTTGTCAAATATGAGTATCCTGGAATTTTATTTTGCACCTGTGAACTGCTTCTAACTAATTTTGTACTTCCGAAATCAGATTAAAGTTTCACCATGTGGTCAACAGATCAAATGTTTAGAAAAGATTTTTGAAAGTTTGTTGCGCCTATAGTGGATGTTGCCAATAACGCAATCCACCAAAGTAGTCCCAAAATGAGGTTAATGCAACCTTTTAATTAAGCCGCCAAAAGAACTTTATTTCAACTGGCTTAGCGTTGACCAAGCATATTGACGCAAATTCAAACTGTAAGGATTGCAGTGAGTATATTTACACACATATGTAAAAGTACTCGGGAAATAAGAAGGACGATTTCTTGCTTATCATTTATGCAAGCCACAAGAAAATCGAGTAAGTACAAATGATAATTTCAGCAAGAGAATTTCGTACGGCGGTGACATGTGTGAGGTGGAATTCTACCGTGTTACGAAAGAGCAGCTAGGATCAAGGAAAGCCTGTTCTTACTTAGCTTCCTAGTAATCCAGGTAAGAGGCAAATGCCAGCCATATTAAGCGTAGTGCCAAATTAGATTAAATGGACATATTCAACTTTTGAAATTAGGAATGCGTGCACACTGAAAGTTGCTGCGTTTCTGCCGACTCTAGGAGCACTTTCGCATCAGGTGAATAACTTCTTTTTCACCACATTGAGCAAAACAACAATGGAAACTGGTTCAGGTTGTTGGTGTGCACAAAGCGAATAATTTAAATTTGGCGATTTTACCAACACTCGAGTAGTTTAAAGAGTAGCTTGAAAGGTGTTTTTCTGTCTTAAAATACTAAGCTTCACTTTTATTCAAAAGTGCATGCAATCTAATAGCATATGAATAGCCAGTCACACTAAGATTGGTGCTTATTTGTGGCAGGAGCTGCATTCACCACACCCTTCTGGACACCTCCCCCTTGTTGGCACTTGCCTGTTCCTAAGTTAAAGGGTTGCGCCTTTGACTCTCAAAAGTCTATCAACAGGCGAAACTGACTGGTTTAAAATAAAGTCAGTTAGTCTGGTGTTCAAAAGGCTATTGAATAAAAATTGGGTTTGGTTGAAGTTTTTATCTTATCAAGCCGGGCTTCTGGTGGTGTTTCAGCCTTTAATTATGTACAAGATACTGGACTTTGCTTTGCTTTTGAAAAGACATTGCATCCCTGGTCTCTGTGGCGCATTTTTATTACTTCGTGTAATATCGGATCTTTCGGTGGTAAAGCACCACCTTTGCAGACCCGAACCCAAACCACAGTCTGAATTTCTAACGGGCTGAAGAAATTGTCTGCGTTTTAATTCTCATCGGCCAGCTTTACTGTAGTGCTACGTAACATTTGATTTAGGGAAATTTTGATCGATCTATCTTAAGAGACAATCAGTGCGAACAAATTGTCATTATATGTCGAAGTGGTTCAAAACTGTGAGCCATTGCTGCGAAAATTCAGTGTAACATCCACATGGCTAAGTGCTATGGGCACCCCACAGACTACTTCTCAATTTTGTCGCGCTATGTATCTGTGATTTATACATTATTTCGCGAGATTGTGGTGTGTGACCCAGCAACACCTGCGTGTGATACTCATTGGTGCCCCCACTCCACGATCGAACAAACCTCCCCCTTCCTCCATCCGTTTCACGCTCCCGGCCATCTCTCGGTGGATGTTTGTTTATCCAAGGCACTATGGTCTGGGGCACATCCGTATGGAGTCCCGCTATGACCATAGCAACTGTGACTATGCTTGTTGCTAGTCTCCGATCAACCGATGGCTTAATAATCTACGCATTGGAGGAATTTGCAAATGGGTATTTAATGCAGGGCCCGAACTTAGATGAATCGATTCAAAAGCCTTGTTACTAGAAGCCGCAACTGCAAGAGCTCTGCCCCTGCCGCTCTACCGGCGGCGTGTTTGCAGTGTCACTCGAAATAACTTAGAAGTGAACCATTCACAGAATCATGTCACAGGTACGTATGTAATTAATTGGAAAATTAGAGGCATTCCAGATTAGTGGTCGCCTACACAATGGGTGGCCAGTGTTCGAATCCTATGAAAGAGGCGCTTCCCATTGGTTAACTCAGCTCTGCCAATAGAGATATTGTGAGGTGAAATTGCAGTTGGATTTGACTTCCAGAGTTGCCCTGTGGTAATTCACTGGGTGTACTCTTCAAACTGGCCCATTATTTAATTATTACTCAAACGAATTCTCTTCGCCGGCAAGAATCCGGTTTTTAAGCTGAGAACTTCGAAGCAGCATTATATACACCTAGTTGCAATCATAACAACGGACAAATTGACTAGTGGAGGGGCAAAATGCAAGCCTTCTACAGCACCAAGAGCCAGAAAATCCATCAGGTCTGGCTTTGATTTACCTCCTTGAAATTTGGTTTCTTGGTTTTTGTGGGTCACCCATGACTTGCTGTCGCTACCGACTAGCTGTTGCCCCAGGGCATTACCTGAAATCGAGTTCTCAAGGGTGGCAACCACCAAATGAGCTTAACCATCATGATTACTCAAAATTGATGATTTAACTAGTAAACTTCATGTTCTTCTAGTCTCATATCCTCTGTTGCCATATGGGTAGATTTTAAGGAATCTTTTTGCCAAAGCAAGCCGCCTCACTTGGGACTCCCATGTCAAACTAAAGTTTAATGCAGTGGGTCGTTTGGCAAAATCAAGCGCCCTAAGTCTCTCACAGTCTTGGTTGTGACATGTGTGTTGTGTGGTACGAGGAAAATTACGAAAACCGAGGGTAGGCGGGGGCCAGAGGTGAGAGGATGCGCTCGCCCATTCCTGCGTCAGACGACGGGCATCCGGCGTTTTTGGTGTAACTGATAATGTGAGTTTGACAGGCGTCAGGGTAACATTAGACAAATAAGAGGCAATACATGAGGCATTAAAGTGAAGTTAATCTAATTTCGGAGCAATTCACACATGATCATTAAAGAATAGCCATCTAAGACAGAGGACAGAATCTAATCACGGCGGACGCGCCACACTAAGTTAGATATTGATGACCAGGAAGGTGAATGGCTTTTATCCATGGCCTCTTTGTTGTCATCAGATGCAAGCTCACGAATGTGGCGTACTCTGTGTCCTCGGAACATGTACTTAACAAGAAAACCACGCGCTGAGATGCTGCCCATTCCCTGAGGTTGGGCATGTACCCCTCACATCCTGAGAATAATCAACTCCTACGAGTAAACCCAACACTACCAAGATTTTATTGACTTGTTTAAGCAGTTAACAGAACCCAGAAAGTGAAACTTGGCAGACCCGTAAATATAGGACTTCTTGAAAGGATTCAGTAGTTTATTAAAATATCAACTCTGGTCCACGTGCAATGATAATGAGGATGAATTGTATAAGTCAGAAAAAACATCTGACGAGTAGCGAGAGATCAACTTTAAAATTCCTGGCTCTATTTGCTTGCAAATACAAACTAGCGTGTGGCAAA